TCAGATTTCATTCCCTAAACAGCTTTTTTCCCTGAAGGATTTGACTTTTTCAGATATCTCTGGATTACTAATGCCAGTAGTCACTATAGATGCCAAATGCTAGCTTGATGATAGGCATATAGGTGTGTCTGGTTACTCCCCAGCCTGCTTTCATTTGTGCTATAACACTTGTATTGCCTTGGGGGAGAGGAAAAGACAACCACCACTGGAAAATTGATGTCAGGTTCTTCTACCCAACTTAAACACTAAGGCAGCGAACAGATTGCTATGGAAGGGAGTTGAATGTAGCAATGACCTTAGGGGATCTTGAACCAGTGGGAGGTAGAAACAGTCACAGAGGTAGTGCTGTTTCCAAAGGGACACTGGAGCTCTCTGTATTCTTCCAAGTTGTGTAGCATGGCTGGGCTGTAAGCAGCTTTGTACCTGCAGAGGTCATCATCTCTCTTTTGTTCTCCTGCTCAAAATGACACCGATTTATAAAAATATTTATAATTCTAGTGTATAGAGGAGAATGTCTGTGTATGGGTTGTACTAGAGAGTGATTTATGTAGGGAGGTATTTTGAAGGCAGGTGAGATGAGCTAGCTTAGTTCCTCTCTACTTGAATTGGCAGAGTTCCAGTTCCTTCTGCTTCATAATAAGCTTTCTTGGCATTGTCTTTATTAAAGGATTTAGTTCTTTCACCTCTACTGGAGAAACTGGAAAGAAAAACTGTAGTTCAGATAACTAAAATAGAAACTGTCAAATCTTTAATGATGGTCCAGTGACAGAAACACTTTAAGTACCAGGTCCATGACTTACTAGCTTTGTGACCTTTGGGAAGTCATTTTTCCATTCTGAGCCTCAGTTTCCTAATTTGCAGAGTGGGAATCATAATAATTGATCATAGTTATTGTGAAGAAATTGCTATATAAATGTGAATTATTATGTCATTGCTATGTACCCACCACTAAGCTAGATTCTGGATAGAGGTGAATGAATAAAACAATTAAGTAAATATAAGACCAAGACCTTAATTTGGCATATGGTTTAGTTAAGGAGGCAAAAGTAAGACATACAAAATAGATTGTATACATGAAGTCACAGTCCTGAAAAGAAGCCTGCACATAAAATGGCACTTTTGCAAGGGACCTTAGAGTTTCTCTTTTAAAGCCTTCATTTTCATGCCAAATGCTGGGGATATAGAGAAAGGTAGAAACACAGTCTCTACCCTCTAGAGCTTATATTCTAATTTGGGAGACGTGTAACCAGCTATGATATACATGTTGTAAATGAGAGATAACCTTAGAGAGAAGTCATTTGTTATGGGAGTGGGGGAAAGAACCAGAAGTAGGAAGTTAGAAAGGGGAGCATTCTAAGCATGGGGCAGGGGGGAGTCTGAGAAAAGACATGCAATTCAGAGATTCAGTATCCTATGCAAGGACCATCTAGAAGGCCAGTACTTTTGGATCTTGTAGGGGCTAACAAGACTAGAATGGTGAAAGGGGTCAGGTTGTTAAGGGTCAAATATGCCAAAATAAAGATTTTTTTTATTTAATCCTAGAAGTAATAGGAAGCCACTGGGATGTATCCTTAAGGAGAGTGGTAACAGCTGATTTAGGAAAATCTCTTCAGCCGTTGAGTGGAGGGTGGATTGGAGTGAGGAAACACTTGAGTCAGGGATACTAGTAGGTTAATGCAATAGTCCAGGTATGAAGGGATAAGAGTCTTTTTTTTAAAATGCCTTTGGAATATAGACCTAGCAGTGGTATTGCTGGATCAAAGACTATGCACAGTTTTATGGCCCTTTGAGCATAATTCCAAATTGTTCTCCAGAATGGTTGGATCACTTCACAGCTCTACCAACAGTGCATTGAGTGACCCTTTTTTTATTCCTTCCCTTCCATTTTCCTCTCCTTTTCCCCTCTTCTCCTCCCCTTCCTTCTTTTATTTTTTTCTTTCTCCCTTATCCTCCCTCACCCTCCTAAATCTCCACTCCCCTTTAGAAAAAAGAGAGAAATGAAAAGAAAAAATATAATTATTGTAATAAATATGCATAGACAAAACAAATTCTCACATTGGCTGTTTGCAAAAACATATGTCATTCGGCATCTTGAGGCCATCTTTTTTTTTTTTTAATCAAAAGGTAAGTATCAGGCTTCATCATCAGTCCTCTGGAGTCATGGTTGGACATTGCATTGGTCAGAATTGTCAAGCCTTTCACATTATTTTTCTTTATCATGTTGTTGTTATTGTATATATTCTCCTCCTAGATCTGATCACTTATACAGGTTTTCCCAGATTTCTCTGAATGTGAGAAGTGGTCATTTAGGAAGAAAGTCAAGAATGAGCACTGTCACAAAAACTCAGAAGATAAATTATGTAGAAGTTGGCTAACAGTTTCAAATGCTGCCAGAGGTCAAGAACATTGTGAACTGAGAAAAGTCTGTCAAATATGGCAGTTAAGAAATTATTGGTAACTTTGGAAAAAGGAATCTTAGTTAACTGATAATTTAAGAAGCCAGATTACAGAGGATTTTGAAGACAGTGAGGAAAGCAGAGGTGAAGAAAATATGTGTAGCTTTTTTTTGTTTTGGATGAGAAAGGAATGACATAATCTTCAGGATAGAGACAGTGTCTAAATATATTCATAGATTCATGGACTATAAGAGATGCATGTAATCCTACTCCTTCATTTTAAAGATGAAGAAGAAGAAACTTAAAACTCAAATAATTGTGAATGAACAAGATGTATTGTGAAATTTAGAGTAGGGTGAAGTCTTTTTGGATGATTTTTGTATCCTTGGGGCCCACCACTTCCTGTGTAGCTGGTACCTAATAAATGCTTATTTAACTGGTTTTTCTTGGGAGAAGGTTGGGACTTGAGCGGGACTCTGAAGGCTTCATAGATCTTGGATAAGCATTGTAGCTGCTATCTCAGCATGACCAGAGAGTAAGAGCCATGAGGGATAGTGGTGTGTTTAAGGACACTGTAAATGAGTCTGGCTAACTTGAGAGAGGAAGGCTTTTGGAGTAGTCAGTCAGTCAATAAACCTTAAGTGCCTACTTATGTGTTAGGGCCTGTATTAAGTACTGGGGGGATATAAAGAAAGGTAAAAGGCAGCCCCTGCTCTCGAGATCACAGTGTAATGGAAGAGAAAACATAAAAATAACATTGCATGGACAAATTTATACAGGATAAACTGCAAATAATCAATAGAGGGAAGACACTAGAATTAAGAGGGCTGGGAAAAGGCTTCTTGTACAGGAAGATAAGGTTGTAGTGCTAGATTGTGGAAGACTTTCAGTGACAATTTGGCTTGGTAGTAGGGAACTATTGAAAGTTTTAAAAGCAAAGAAGTGACACAGCCTTGTAATCCTGTACTCATCACTCCCACTATATGTGTGTGTGTCGTTATCCAAATTTTATGGTTTATATTTCCACAGCATTTCTCCTATAACTCTATTTCTCTCCACTCAGAAAACCACCGTACTGGTTCAGGTCTTTATCATCTCTTGTTTGGACTATTTTGGGGGTGGGTGGGGGTGGGTGGGGTGGTGGAGGGGGTGAGGCAGTCAGAGTTAAGTGACAGCTAGTAAGTGTCAAATGTCTGAGATCAGATTTGAACTCAAGTCCTCCTGACTCTAGTGCCAGTGCTCTATCTACTTCTCCACCTAGCTGCCCCTTTGGTTGGGTTCTTAGAATAACTTCCTAAGTGACCTCACTGCCTCAAGTCTGTCTCCACTCCAATCCATCTTCCACCCACCTACCTCAAAGCATGTTCCTAAAGTGCTGTTGAGCCATGTCACATCTTCTCAGTATATTCTGGTGGCTTTCGTTACTTCTAGGGTCAAAAATAAACTCCTTTGTTTAACATTTAAAGCCTTTCACAACCTGGACTACCTTTTTAACTTTATTACTTGATTTCATGCTCTTTGTGGTCTAGTCGAACTAGCCTTACTGTTTCTGATGTATGATAAGACATTTCCCCTATAAGTTTGCCTTCCCCTTACTCTTTATCTTATGTCTGTTTTATATGTTACCTCTCCCATTAGAATGTAAGCTTCTTGAGGGCAAAAATTGTTTTCATTTTTTCTTTGTATCTTCAGAGCTTAGTACACCTATCACATAGTGTTTTATAAATGATATGCCTTTGATGTGCCTTTGGACTAGCTGTCCCACTTGCTATTTAATACCCTTTTTCAATTTTATCTCTTAGACCTCTGTAGCATCCTCCTAGATTCAATTCAAGGACTACTTAAAGTCCTTCCTTATCCTATAGCTGCTAGTGTCCACTCTCTACCATTCACCTTGTTAGGTATAATATATATATGTATATATGAAATTTTTCATATTCTTCACATTGTCTTCTCTGATAAAATGTAAAACTCTTTTGATTGTAAGGATTGCTTGCTTTTTATCTGAATAAAATAGCATCTGGTGAAATGCCTGTCACTTACTGTTGATTGGTTGATTGATGGGTTGATTTCAAACAAAGTTTTAGGTTAGTTAATCCTAAAGAGAGAGATTCAGGGGTTCTTAGTATAAAAAAGTATTCCTGACTTATCATTTCCTTTTTTTTTTTTAACACCTTTATAAACCTGAAAGAATATTTGGGAGAGATGAGAGAAGCACATATCTAAAGAACTGTTTATGATATTAGTTTGGTTGCTGTGGATGAATAATCTCAGATTAAGAATTATAGACTACCTTTGGAGCTAAAACTGGAGTTTGGGAAGAGGAGTGAGAAGGAAGAGCAACACAGAGCTGATAAATGAAGAGACCCTTAGAAGGAGCTAGAGTTGTCCAAAATTCCTGGTTTACTAGAGCCTAACACTACTATTTTGATTAAACATTATTACTAGTGTAACAACCTAAACTCCAAGAATCAGGAAGCCTGCGTTTTGATCTGGACTCTGATTCCAGTTAGCTTTGTCATGTTGGAGAAGTCACAGCCATTGAATTTCAGAAATGAAAAGGACTTTAGAGATCACCTTCTTCAAAAACTTTATTTTTTACAGGTGAGGAAACTGAGGCACAAAGAAAGAGAATGCTTCAACAGAGACCATATATCTCGTTAATCACTGAGACAGACCGGAGCCCAGGTCTCCTGGCTTCCTTCCAATGGTGTTTCCATTATGATATGCTAACCTCTTAAGTATACCATGGTAACTTACTTTCCCATAAGTAGAATGTGGGGTCTAATGAATTAAGTTGTTGCACAAATTATATCCATTAAGAACCCTGTTGGATGTGTGAATTTTTGTGAGAATTTCAATTCTAGTGCTATTTTCCCCTCAAAATATTAAAAATAAAATTATGTATATATAAAAAAAGATTATTTCATGCTATATTTTTTCAGCTTGAAAATTGGCTTAATTTCTCAATTTTGCATCATTTTTGCAAAACCTTTTTTTCCTCAGAGGTATTCTGTATACTGATTTCTGAGTCTTTATGGATTCAGTTAATATATTTAAGATTGTCTCCAAAGTTTCTTCTAGCTCTATAATTCTGTGGTGCTAGGTACTGAATTGCCTTTTTAATCCAAAGAAACATTTTCTCTTTTTAGATTTGAATGATACAGTAACTTGTGTTTTCACCTTTAGTTTATTTTTAAAAAAAGATTGTGTCAGTGCTGAGTTTTATATGTATAATTGTCACTCCTCATTGGCTAGCCGCAGTGATAGAATCCTTCCTAGTTAACAGTACAGTTAAGCAAATTTGTCTGACTACATATGCCTCATTGCACATATGCCAAAAATCTCTTGCTTCTACAGAGAAGAGGGAGACATGATTCACAATTACTTCTGTGAAGTCATGACTTCTCACTATAATGATCAGGCCACAATAATTTGACTTCTGAATATATTTTTCCAAATTTTATATATATCTATATCTCTGTGTGTGTGTGTAGTATGTTCATATAGTCAGTGATGATAATTGATGGAAGTAGACATATCCATACACACACACACACACACACACACACACACACACACACACACACACACAGAGAGAGAATGTTCATATAGTCAGTGATAATAATTGATAGAAACAGACATATCCAAATATCAGCCCAGCCTTCTCTCTCCCATTTCTAATACTTTTTAAACTATATCTCACCAAAAATTTGTCTTTTTGATTCTCTTTGGAGTTAGTCCTGCAAAAGTGGAGTGTGTATGTATTTAACTGAAAGAGGGATGGTAGAACCAGTTCCCAAAGTAGAACCTGATTCTCATTTAGTTTCATATACAATGAGTTAATTTTTTATTTTGCTTCATTAGGTCCCTGAAAGTTCATATCATATGCAGTATGGTACCATTGTTCCTAGATAGTAGGAAGAAAATACTGGCTTGGGGGTCTGATGACCTGAGTTTGAAAGGCCTAACTCTGCTGTTTGACACTTTTTTGTTTTTGTTTTTTTATGGTAGCTGTTTGACTTTGGGCAAAGTCATAGAATCCTTGATTTGGAACTGGAAGGAATGTCCCCCATTAGAATCTATTGAGTGATCATTGTTGTTCCCCACCATTCCCCATTTTACAGATGAGCAAGCTGAGACACAGGCAAAGTCAATTTTTCAGGGCCTTTGTTTTCTGATGTATAAAATGATCAAGGTGGACAAGCTAACTGTAAATGGGACTCAGAAGTGAACCAGTTTGAATAGTAACTTTATGGTCATTTATTTTGTCATGTCATCATACAGTTCCTGGATAGAAGTCCACTGTTTATTATGAAAAGTGGTAGTCAAGATTGTGTTAGTAAAGCTATGATGGAGGCTCAGGAGCAGCAGTGGGAAGGTGGGTAAGGCTTATGGCAAAATTTAGAGGTAGGATGGAAAAAAGAAACCCAGTGGAACATGGTTTGTTTTTGTTTGTTTTTGGCTTAACTTCCCCCTGTTATTTTCTCCCTTTGAGTAAGCATCATATTTGGCCTTTATTTTAATTCACATTTGTCCACTTTAACTAGTTAATAAGGGAGCCCTGCATGCTGTAGAAATTGACTGCTGTTTTCCTAACTAGGAAAAGCTAAATTCAGTAAAGCTACGAAATTACGACCTTCTGGGTTCTGGATTACTGAAGTGGTGGCATAGAGTTTTCCTGTCAAGATAGCCCTTTTCTTGAAGTCATTCAGGTGACTGATAGGCTTTGTAGTTCTACTTTGATAAGTAAGACAGACTTTCAGTTCTTAATTCTCTATAGCTTGTGCTTTTAAGAGTTGTACTTTCTTAAATATCTATTCTAAATTAATAAAACAAAGACAAAAATAGTGAGATCCTTTTGCCACAGAAAGTCCAAAAGGCCAAAATAGTTAAAGTAGCCTCTCTTGGGAATTTTTAGTCAACTGCCCCTTTAAGAGCAGTGATGCTACCCTACCAGACTTGTGTTTTGGAATGCCAACAACAGTCTTGCAGACATACATTGCTGCTGCTGCTGCTGCTTGCTGCTGCTGCTGCTGCTGCTGCTGCTGCCACCCGCCGCTGCGGCCGCCACCGTGTCTCTGTGAGGGTTAACAACACTTCAGCTTGTTGTCTGGAACCGGTTCAGACTGGTTTTCTGGAAAGTGCTTTGTCTCTCAGACTGAATCCTGGGAAGGGTCATGTGGAGCCCAGTGATGTCATGGGATCAAAAACTGACTCAGCTTTTTTCATCTAGATATGTGTGTGATGCAGGTACAGGAAAGTGGCAGAGTGAAATGCCCAAACCTATCCAGCCTAAAAGTTTCAATGACTCTGGAATTGCAGGGGTTAAATATGATCCCAGAGGAGTTGAGCACTTCCTGTGCTCGGAATGGGCAAATGGGCCTCATTCATTAAAAGGGAGTAGAAAGTATCAACTTGAATATTATCACAATGGCAATAGCTTAGTTTCTTGTGGAATAGACTGGACAGAAATTCAGAAAGCTCTTTTCCTGCAAGATAAGGTAGTTCTTTTCCCCTTCACCTAAGATTCCTGATAACTGACAGGAAATGCAGGTGCTACAGACCCCACAAGCAGAAACTGCAGAGAAATTTAGGTCTAGGTTTCTTGTACTTTGACTTTGAGACTGGAATGCAGAGAGAAGGTCCCTTTTTTTTTTTTTTTTGGTAAGCAGCCAACTTTCATTTTTTATCTTTGAAGGTTTCTGGTTGTGCATTAGAGTGGTTTATAGTTCTACTCCCATACTTACTATTGCTTATCTATTTCTCTTTGCCATAATGATACAGGTGACTAGGAGCCATGGACAAAGTTTAGGAGAAAGACCCTTTTGGGGAAAGTGAGGGAATTTTACATGCTTCAGAGACTCCTTGTTTGGTTATAACAACCCTTGTCATCATTATGGCTGGAGGAAACATTCAAAAAGCAACTTCAAAGAAAGAAAAAATAAATAAGATACACACTTTATTTCAGAAAATTTTAAACTTGTCTTCTCCTCCCCCTTCTCTTACTAGAACTTCAGAATGACCGAGGAAGCATGCAGAACACGGAGTCAAAAGCGAGCACTTGAACGTGAGACAACCGTAAATGATGTGGATAGTAAAAAAATAAAGATGGAGAAAGGATTACTGGGATCAGACCACAAGACTGAAAGTGATTTGAAAATGAAGTCTGAGCCTGGAACAGCCAAGGTCCAAGGATTACTAAAAGGAGGGGAAGTTAAGGCAACTATTAAGGTGGAAGTACAGACAAGTGATGAGCCAGTGGATATGAGTACCTCAAAAAGGTAGGCAGCTTGGTCAAAGTGTGCCAGCTGAAATTTTGAATCTTAAGCACTGAGCTAACAAGATCTAGTACTTCTTATAGCTTTTTACCTTTCTGTTTAATGTCTTAAGCTCATCATTTTCTTAAAAATAAATTTTTGTCTTTTTTTTTTTACATCACCTACATATTCCAGTTTCTCTCCTATCTCTCCTTTCCAGAGAGCCCTCCCTTATAATAAAGAATTAAAAAGAGGAAGAAAAACAGTTTAGCAAAAGTAAATGACATTGAAAAAATTTCAGAGTTCTGTGTTTCATACTTCCTCATAGTTTGGGGATGAGGTGTACGGAACATTCCTTATTGTATCTCTTTTTGGGGGTAGGCACGATCATTTTAATTTTACGGCATTCAGATTCATTTGTTTTATTCTTTACATTTGCCGTTTTGTAGTCATTATATATATTGTTTTCCTGGTTCTGCTTATTCTACTTTGCATCAGTTCGTATAAATCTTCTCATGCTTCTCTATGTTAACTGCATTCATTGTTTCTTAAGCATAGTAATATCCTATTACATTCATATGCTGCAGTTTGTTTAGCCATTCCCTTATCAGTGGGCATATATTTTGTTTCCAGTTCTTTGCTATTACCCCCAAAAATAATGCTGTAAGTATTTTGATGTATATGCAGCCTTTCTTTTTCTTATTGGAATTCCTTTTGGGCATGTGCCTAGCAATGGAATCCCTTGAGTTCAAAGATTTGGCTATTTAACTTTCTTCAAGTAATTCTTACTTTCCGAAATGGTTGGATCAATCCACAGCTTCACCAACAGTAAAGTAGTATGCTTGTCCTTTTCAAACCCCTCTGACGTTTCCTCTTCCCCCCCTTTTTTCGTCTTTGCCAGTTTTCTGGTGTTGACTTGAAACCTTTGAGCTGTTTTGATTTTTGCTTCTCTTAATAGTTTGTTATTCTTCTTTGAGAATTGTTCATGTACTTTGACCTCTTCTTTATTGATACTGGCCTTTGGTCTTATTTTCTTTTATTTGCCTATATATTTTTTATATCAGACCCTTGTTAGAGATATTTGATACAGGTTTTCTCCCCAAATGAATGTGATATAAAAGCAAAAGACATGAATTAAAGTTGTTTTTAAAGTGTGATGGCAGTAATTTGCAGAGATTTTTGCCATGTTTGTCTTCCTTCAAAAGTCAAGTGAAAGTTGCATGTATATAAAATGTAACTTGGGCTCCTCTCTGGTGAAGAATATGAAAGGGTTTGAGAAATACCACTCTTTGAGCTCTCAGAAAAAAGAAATGTTATTTGAAAGAACTTAACTCAATGAAAATGGCAATACCACCTAAATAATTTACAAGTTTAGCACTATGCCAATGGGATACTTTATAGAGTCAGAAAAAATAATGGCAAATTTTATTTTGAGTAACAAAAACATCTAGAATATCAAGGGAAACAGTGACAAAAGTAGTAATGAAGAATTATGTTTCTAGACCTCTACTTGAAAACTGTTATTTTAAAGTAGTAATTATCAAAACTATTTATTACTGGAAAAAAATAGGGAAAAAAAAGATCAATGGAAGAGTCCAGTAAAAAAATATTAAGCACCCGTTATATGTCAGGCACTGTGCTAAGCACTTTGGGTACACATATGAAAAAAAGATAGTCATTATTTTTTCCCCCAACCTTCCCCACTTCAAACTTCCCAATTATTGTCAAAGGCAACATCACCATTCTAGGCTCCTAGACTCACACTCTAGGTATCATTCTCAAATTTTCATTTTCTCTTATTCCACATATCCAATCTGTTGCCAAGGCTTATCAGTTTCACCTTTGCAGCATCTCTCAGCTGGGCCATCTCCAGATGTCCTGATTTATATCTGGCCACTGGACCCAGAAGGCTCTGGAGAAGAAAGTGAGGCTGATGACTTTGCACAGCCCTCCCTCTCACTTAAATCCAGTTCACTTGAAAGTCATGGCATCATCTTTTTGATGTCATGGTCCTCTTCGAAAATGAAGGACAAATCATGGAGCATCTCTCAACTGTACTCCTTCTCTTTTCTAATACTGCCACCACCTCGGTGTAGGCCCTCATCACTTCACTTCTGGACTATTGCAGAACACTTTTGGCAAATCTGCCTGCCTAAAATTTCTCTCCCCTCCAATTCATCCCCCATTCAGCCACCAAAGTGATTTTCCTGAAGTGCAGGTCCAGCCTACACTACTGTCCAACTGCTATCACCCCTTCCCACTTGCCCCCATTCAATAAATTGACTCCCTGTCACCTCAGTGATTAAATATAATATTCTCTGTTTGGTATTCAAAACTCTTCATAACCTAGCCTGCCCTGTGCGTGCGCCCCCCCTTTTGAAGTCTCACATCTTACTCCTTACCATAGACTCTTTGATCCATTGACACTGGTGGCCTTGCTGTTCCTTGAACAAGACATTCCATCTTTTGGCCCTGGACATCTTCTCTGGCTGTCCCCCCATACCTGGAATTCTCTCCTTCCTCAACTTCATTTCTGGCTTTCTCTGTTCCCTTCAAGTCCTAACTAAAATCTGACCCTACAGAAAAACTTTCACCTCTTCTAATTCTAGTGCCTTTCCTCCCAATTATTTCCTGTTTTGCCTATGCGGCTTGTTTATACATATTTGTTAACTTGTTGTCTTCCTCATTGGATTATGAGCTCCTTTAGGACAAGGACTGTTTTTGTTTGTTTTTTGCCTCTTTTTTATCCTTTGTATACTTGCCTTAACACAGTGCTTGGCACATAATAGATACTTAATAAATGTTTATTGATTGGTGGTAATTTGAAGAGAGAAGGTGCTTTATCAGCTGGTGAATTAAGGAAGTCCAATGGGAGAGGTGGTACCTTGAACTGAATCTTGAAGGTGTTGATTCTAAAAGACAGAAATGAGAAGGGAGTACCTTCTATGCATGCAGAACAATTTCTGCAAATGTAGTGGTCACGATTTGGCAGGAATATATAGTGTGTGAAAATAAGTTTGGAAAGGTGGATTGCCTTCGAATGTGGAAGGGCTTAAATTCTAGGTTGAGTTTATATTCTTTTCCAGAGGCACTGGGGAGCTATGAAACAGAAGAATAGCGTGCTTGCTTCTGTGCCTTATCCTTCGGGCACCTGTGAATGATGAATTGAAGATGGCTAAGACTAAAGGGAGTTTTATTACATTAGTTTTTACGTTAATTGAGGTAAGAGGTGATCAGAGCTTGAACTAGGATGGTGATCATGTGAATGCAGAAAAGGAAACAGTCATGAGAGATACAGTGGAGGTAGAACTAACAAAATGACAATGATTAGATAGATATGTGGTTGACTGGAGAGGGAAACATTGAATGACTCTAGGTTGTGAATCTAGGTAAATAGGAATATGCTATAGTGAACTCATCAGAATAAGAAAGTTTTGCAGTGGGACTGTTTTAGGGGAAAAGATGATGAGTTACAATTGGTACATGTTGAGCTTAAGATGGTAATGACACATCCTGATGGAAATGTCCAGCAAGCAGTTGACGATGCAAGAATGGAGTATAGGAGCTGTCTGTATATAGATTTTAGACTCCTTTAGCAGCGTTTATAATTAAATCCATGGCAGTTGATGAAATAGCAAGGGATAGAATGTGTATAGGGAAAAGAGGATCTGAAGAAATCCAGGTTTGAGATTGGCAGTGGACCAGAAAAGGCTTTTAAAAAAGTAGTCAGATACGTAGGTTAGCCAGGAGAATATAGTATTATAAAAGTCAAAAATTTAGAGTGCCTTTCAATAGACAGTAATCAACAGTACCGTGTCTTTCTCAACACTGCTTACCAACTCCAGCGTGGGGTGTTGAGCTCCTGCATGGTGAGAATTTTTCATAACCAGACTTTCTCCAGTGTCCTGTCCCTGTTTTTTTTTTTTCTTGCTTTGAAGGTAGCTAAGAACATTCATTCTAGGCCAGGAGTGGGGAACCTGCTGCCTGTACTAGGCTTTAAGCTTCTGATACCATTCTTATATGGGACCTTGCTGGTTACCTACCCTTGTTTCTGTTGTAGCCACATCTGTCTTTTTAGAGAGTGTCTCCTTTTCCTTCGTGGTTGAAGTCATTTGTGTATTAGAATTGTATTCTTGCGGGGGGGGGGGGGCTCCTAGGCAATGGGGTTAAGTGTCTTGTCAGTGTCACACATCTAGTAAGTGTTATGTGTCTGAGTCTGGATCTGAACTCAGGTCCTCCTGAATCCAGGGCCAGTGCTCTATCCACTGTGCCATCTAGCTGCCCCCTAGAATTGTGTTCTTGAGAGCATAATTTCTTTGAGCAAACTTTCCCTGTAGACTCATAGGTCATGGAAGTCTGGCTATCTTTTTTTCTGAACTCTTTGAAATCTACCCTCCCAAACGACATATAAGACCTTGCCCAAATTCTCTTCCTCATATTTCAGTAACTCTGATTCTGATTACTTTCTCCTCCCACTTAAATAATTTCTACCTTACTACTCTTACTGATCAGAATCAGGTTCAGAATAACATTTACTTTGGTTACTTTCTATGCCTTTTAAAAAATTTAATCTTTTCTATTAACAAACATCTGCAATCTCTCCAACTACAAAAATTTCCTTCCCTCACCCTGAAAAAAGAAAAAGAGAATAACAAAACCTTTGCAACAAATATACAATTAAAGCATTTCTACATTGGCCATGTCCATAAAAGTTTCTCACTGTGCATGTCTCTACCATCACCATCACCCCTGTCAGGAGGTAGGCAGCATTTTAAATTCTTCTGGAATCAGAGTTGAAATTCTGGGATCAGAAGTCTTTTAAAATTGTTAATTTTTACAATATTGTTGTTATAGTCTAAGTTGTTCTCCTGGTTCTGCTCACCTCACTGCATCAATTCACAGTGAGGCTCAAATGATGTTTTCCCCTTCCTCATTTATCTGTAGTCTTCTACTTGTACTGTGATTATATGGGATAATAAGTAATCCCTGGTCCATTCTCCTTTTCTTCCCTAGTATCATCTTCC